GTCTGGCTGGCTTAGTCGGAAAAGCATGAGACTCTTGATCTCCAGATTGTGAGTTCAAGCCCTAGGTTGTGTGTAGAGATTACTTAAAGTCTTAAAAACAAACAAGAAAGGAAGGAAGGGAGGGAGGAAGGAAGGAAGGAAGGAAGGAAGGAAGGAAGGAAGGAAGGAAGGGAAAGAAAGACAGAAAGACAAAGAAAGAAAAAGAAAGAAAGAAAGAAAAAAAGAAAGAAGGAAAGAAAGAAAGAAAGAAAAAAGAAATAGTGCTGTGTTCCGATTGAATATTCATGTGGGGAAAAAATTAACTCATTTAGAGACAGCAGAGCAGTGGTTGCCTGGCAACAGGGACAGAAGTTGGACAGCAAAAGGGTAGGAAGGATCTTTCGGAGGAGATAGAAGTGTTCTGTATCTTGGTTGTGGTAGTAGTTTTGCAGATGTATACAAATGCCCAAGTCACTAAGTTGTATTCTTTAAATGGAATGTAGGTTTTTATATGTAGAGTTATACTTGAACAATTTTGATTTTTAAAAGTAGGTATCTAGAGACGACTAGTTTCATCCCTTCGTTATTTTCCATAGCAAGCAGGGACCTATTAGGACCCCTTCACTGAATTCTAGGGGGCTGCAGAGTCCTGTGAGTTATCAAAAAAAAAATTTTTTTCACCAATTCACTGGAATTTTAAAATCCCAAGCAAAAAGCCCTTTATAACAGGAAGGAATGTTCCCTCCATTAAATGGTAGAGTAGGAAACAAAATAATTCCCTTAAATCATTAGTCCATTTGATAGCATTCAACAAATTTGAAAAAAAATGTCTTAGTACCAAAGAAGGATTTTGTTGGCTTTTTAAATAATTTAGATCAGGACTGCTAGAATGGAGAATAGGAGACCAAAATGGCTTTCATATCTACTTGTCTAGAGAAAACGCACTAGCATTAAACCTCCATTGCTTTATCCAATTGCCCTGTTTACTAAGAAGACTGAGGTGACTTCTGGATGTTTAAAATCTGTACAATGAAACACATTTTGGAACTTAATCCATCTAGTTTTTACTAAAATACCATCAAGTAATCAAAGCAATATATTAAGTCTGGTAATTTATTTTGCTGAAGATTTTGTTTTTACATTAAAGATCTTTAACTTTTTACAAGAAAAGTTTAGTCTTGGGTTTTGCCTCCATCTAGTGGACATTCTGGTCTTTTACATTTAATTGAATCCAGCGCAAACCATCCTGGTATGTTCATTTTTAGTTTTGGGGAATAAAAAAAAGTAAAGAAAAATGGTAACCACAATTCCTAGATAAAGTGGTATGAATTAATACTTATTTTCATCAATAATTTATTCCCAAGGAGATTTGAGGTGGTATATAATTGAAAACACACATATAATCATAAGAAATCGAAAATCAAAAGCCTTTTAGGAAGAAGAAAATAAACCACCTACATTAATACAGCTACTGCAATTGACAATTATCCCCGAAGATATGGGGGAGATGGAAAACAACAAAGAAAAAAACAATAATTGCACAGATCTTTGTTATTTGATCAAAGTGAACCAACATTGCATTTTTTGGAGTAAAAATGTTTCCAGACTGATTTTTTCTAACTCAAATATGCCTCATATTTGTATAATCTTGTAGAGGTATAGAAAACAGAATAAAGTTCAGAAATCTTGGTGAATTCTACAAAGTGAACATACCCATGTAAGCACCACCCCTATCAAGATATGGAACATAACCAGCACTCCAAAAGTCTACTTTGCGCTCCCTTTCAGTGCTCCTTCAAAAGCAACTACACTCCATCACCATCATTTCATTTTGCCTGCATAAATGGAATCATTTATTGGGTATATTTTTGTGTTTGCTTCACGTACTCAACCTTAACATCTGTGAGATTCATTCATATTTTTGCATGTAGCAGAGGGTTTTCCTTTTTCACTGCCGTAGAGTGTTCTTTATAGGAACACACAATAATGTATATATGCATCTTATTGTTGACTTTTGAAGGGCCTTTGAACTGTTTCCAGTTTGGAGATTTTATGAATGGTGCTGGCATAAGCATTCTAGTGTATGGTTTGGGTGTACACATTACATGCTTTTGTATACTCGTGTACTAGTGCTAGGACTGCTGGGCATTAGGGTATACTGATATTCAGCTCTCGTAAAAATTGCCTAAATGGCTCTCCAAAGTGGTTGTACCAATTTACACCCTTAGCAGCAAGGAATTAGAGTCCCAGTTGCTCGGTATCTTCCCAACCCTTGTTATTGTCACCTTGTTTCTTGTTGTTTGAATAGCCATTCTAGTCAATGTGTGATAATATCTCATTGTACTACTTTGCATTACCCTATGACTTATGATTTCGGGCAATTTTTTATATGCTGATTGGCCATCTGCATTTCTTTTAGTGAAGTGCTTGCTCGTATTTCTCCATTTTCTTACTAGGTTGTATGGCTTTTTATTGATATGTAGAAGTTCTTTATGTATTCTGGATTCTAGTCTTTTTTGGATATATAGATTGCAAGAATGTTCTCCCAGTTTGTGGCTTGCCTTTTCACTCTCTTAATGGTAATTTTAAGTGAAGGGAATAATTTTAACAACTAATTTGTCAATTGTTTTTCTTTAGGTTACTGCTGTTTTTTCCTCCTTAAGAAATACATGTCTACCATAAAATAATGAACATATTTTTTCCTTGTTATCCTTTAGAAGATTTAATATTTTACTTTCAGTGCTATGATCTATTTTGAGTTGATACTTGTGTTTGATGTGTGGTACAAGTCAATGTTCATTTTTTCCCGTAGGCATATCCAATTTATCCAATACCACTTAAGATCCCACTTCCTCCGACACACACACAAACACACACACACTTTTGTCATACGTCTTGTGACCATATATGACTGAGTCTGTTTCTAGATTCTATTTTGTTCTATTGATCTAGCTTTCCCTCAGTACCACAATTTTAATTTTGTAGTAAGTCTTGGTAGTAAGTCTTGTGATCTGATAGTGTGAATGGTCCAACTTTGGTTTTATTCTTCATGGTTGTTTTGCCATTCTTGGCCCTTTGCATCTACTTTTCGATTTTAGAATGTCTTTGTAAATTTCTATTTTTAAAACAATTGAGATTTACATTGGAGTTACATTGTGCATCAGTTTGAGGAGAATTAATGTGATGATAATGCAGTATTAAATTATTATTTTCAATTTATTTTTGTTAAGTTTTTTATTTTAATTATGGTATAGTTAACATGTAGTGTTCTATTCATTTCAAGTGTACAATATGGTGAGTCAACAATTCTATACATTACTCAGTGCTCATCATGAGAAGTGTCCTTTTTAATCCCCATCACCTATTTCATCCATCCCCCCTCCAAAATGATTCTTGAATATATTCCTTCATTTATTTAGGTATTCATTAGTTTTTCTTGAAAATGTTTTAGAGTGTTCTGGTAGAGTTTTTTTTATTTTTTCCTTAGATTTATTCTTATGTATTTGGTAGCTTTTGATGCTCATATAAATGGTATTTTTTTTACATTCTATTTCTATTTACTTGTTGCTGTATATAAATTTACTTTTAAATTTATTTTTCTTTATTGACTGTGTACCCAATGACCTTAATTCGAATTATTAATTCTAATAGTTCATCTGTACATTCATTTGAATTGTCTGTACATAAACCATGTTGACAGATAATAACAGTTTAATTTCTTCCTTTTTCTCTTATTCTCTTAATGCAGTAAGTTATGTTGCCCGATTTTCAAATGATAAACCAACCTTGCATTCCTGGAACAATCACAACTTTATTATGATGTGCTAACCTCTTTTTATTTATTTATTTTTTTGGTTAACATGCTGAGTGTTATTTGCTAATATTTTATTTCAGTTTAGTTTATTTATTTTGTGGGGGTGGGCAGAGAGAAAGGAAGAAAGAGAGAATCCCAAGCGGACTGAGCCTGACATGGGGTTCGAACTCACCAACTGTGAGATCATGACCTGAGCCAAAATGAAGAATCAGTTGCTTACTGAACTGAGCCACCCAGATGCCTCCTCCTACTTTATTTAATATTTTTATATTTTAATCAATCTTCATGAGGAAGATTGGCCTATGCTTTTACTTCTTTGTAATTTTTTTTTCAGATTTTGGTATAAAGTTGAGTTGCTAATGGCTAACATTTTTTTCTAGCTCCTGGAAGAGTTGGATAGTATTGGCATTATATCATTCTTAAGTGTTTGGAAGAATTCAGTAGTAAGACTTTAGGTTTTCTTTGTGGGGCAGGTTTTAATTTGAACTCAATAAATTTAATAATTCTGTTTCTATAACTACTTCTATTAAGGTTATATTTCTTCTTGTGTCAATTTTGGAAAGTTGTGCCCTCGGATGTTTTTCCACTACTCGATAAGGCAAGACAGTCAAAGACCACTTGAAGGTTGAGGAAGATCATCTAGTAAGACAGAAAGCAAAACAAACAGGAATGTTGGAAGCAGCAATTACACAAGAAGAAAATAACATTGGAACTTAAGTATGTCATTTATATCCTCGGAGACATAAGATACTGTACCGTGATATAAGGCCAAGATGTTTCTAAAAACATGTGGAACTAGCGACCTTATCCTGAACTCACCTGTCCAGTAGCAGCTCTTACCCCTAACTGATCCGGGAGGTGATCTATTCTTTGGGCACGTGACCTCCGGCAATTTCCTTAGCTTTCCTGAATCTCAGTTTTCCTACCTGAGAATAGTAAAGCTACTCCTCCTGCAAAGTGTGAGTGAGAAACCAATGAAAGACTAATGGGAAGTCCTTTGTTTTGGTGGGTAGGTAATCGCAGCTCGCTAACTTCAGCGCGTCCTGGGCGCGCGGGACACCTAGGGCCTGGGAGAAGCGCGCGGAGAGCTTCTGCGGGTGCCAGGACCCGCAGTCACTATGGCAACCGCAGACGCCGGGCGTTCCCCAGGCAGCCCGAGGCAGAGCGGAGAAGGCCGGCGGCAGCCGGCGGCCAAGATCCCCGCGGCATGAGGCGCGAGGAAGCGGTGGTGGTGACCTCGGTGGCGGCCCCGGAGCCGGGCCGCGACGGGGAGCAGCCTCGGCCGCCGGCGGGGCTCGGGTGCGTGGCCCGCGGGGAGCCCGGCGGCGGCGGACCCCAGGAGTCACGCAAACAGTGTGAGTTCCCCTCCAGTCGCGCACCCAGCGCGGAGAGACGTGTGGTGCGCAGAACGCGTGAAAGAGGGACTGGGGGTGGGGGGTTGGAGGGGGGACCGCAGTGAAACCGTTTTGGAGAAGGTTTTGGAGGGAAGGGGCAGAGATGCTGTTTGGGCAAAGGTAGAGGTGCTGATGGCACTGTGGCCGACAGCATATTGACCTGGAAGGTATTGAAAAAAAAAGTGTGTGTGTGTGTGTGTGTGTGTACGTGTGTGTAAATTACAAAATTATAAATATAAAAACTGCAATATAAAATCAAATTATAAAATCATAATTATAAAAATCTGTAACATACAAATTTAAAATTTATATAATAGATTTATATATTATTTTTATATAATAAGTATATATAAGTAATATAAATTATTTTATATGTAATAAGTATATATAATATAAACATATTTATATCTAAATAAATTATGTTATTATATATAATTACATATCATATAATTATATATTAGAATATATTATATATATTCTATAGTAATTATTTATATATGAATATATGTTAATTTCTAGATAATAAAATTTATAGATATTTGTAATCTGTCTAACACAAATTATATATACACACACACAGTAATATGTAGATCATTTTTGCCAGTTCCTTCATTTTACAGACCAGGAAACTGAAGTCTAGATTAGAAGAAATGAATTGACTTGCCTACAGTCATTCAGTCATTGCTGGAGTCCACATCTGTTGGACTCTCAGTTCATCAATTGTTACTACTGAGGCTTTTAGAATCTCACAATTATGGGCCCCATTTTAACATGCGTTTTCCTCCCTTGCCCTGCCAAACACACAAACAATATTCAAGCAAGTAAAGGCAGTTCTGGTCCAGTCACAATAACCTGGCTGAAACCGGAGTCCGCTCCAGGCCTCAGCACTCATCCATGTAGTTCCATGAATTTACAGATGGTTCACAGCCCACGTGTGCTGTACGGGATTTCAGTAAATGCTGAGGAATGGTGATGGTGAAAATCATAGGCCAAAGAGGAACACCGGCAGTTTCTAGCCCTCTGCATTGCCTCCTTGATCGCCTCGCCTCTCTAGAGACCAGCCTCAGGCTCTAGCGGTGCCCTCTGTGCCCAGGCAGACCCGGGGGGGGGCGGTCAGCTCCCCTGTCTCAGGGGGCCACACACTTGGCTCCCAGGATACCTCATTAAGGACCCACAGAACCTGTGTCTCCTAGTGAAAGGGCCTCTTCCCTCAGCATCAGCCCCAATAGGACTGTGATACCTCCTCATTCCTTGGGTTATTATCAACAGCACGCAGGGGCCTTACTTAGAGCAACTCAATCCAGTATGTTTAAGTATTCAGTATATTTAAGTATGTCCTTATTCTGACATAAAGTTCTGTCTGGGAATTTTCCCATTAAAGATCCTAGAAATTAAAGGTTCTTTAGTTTCAGGGTGCCCCAGTGGCTCAGTCGGGTAGGCATCCCATTTCAACTCAGGTCATGATCTCGCAGTCCATGAGCTGGAGTCCACATCTGGCTCTGCTCTGACAGCTCAGAGCCTGGATCCTGCTTCAGATTCTGTGTCTCCCTCTCTCTCTGCTCCTACCCCTCTCGCACTCTGTGTGTGTGTCTCTCAGAAATAAATGAAAGTTAAAAGAAAAAAAAAGGTTCTTTAGTCTCTTGGCTGTAGGAGTAAAAGGGGGAGTTAATTATTCACTCATCATTTCAACAAATACTGAGTCCTTACTGCATGCCAGGCATTGGGCAAGCTGCTGAGAAGTGAGTAATGAATTAAGGCAGAGAAGTAAGTAATGAATTAAGGCATTAACTTTCAGGAACTCACAAAGTCAGGGGTGGGGCGTATGGAGTTCTTGCTTCAGCCTCCATGAGAATCTCCTTTGAGGGCCACAGCCTAAGTAGAGCCAGGCTATTCATACTCACATGAAGTACTCATTCAATTTTCGAATTTTTTTGGAAAGGTCTTCAATCTCTATGTAGTTTCTATTCCCTAATCACAGCTCTGATCTGAAATATACACAGATCAAATGAGGTCCTTTCCAGATGAAACACCCTTTAATTCGATGAAGGTGACTATTTGAACAGCCACCAAATATTTCATAGACTTCGCTATCATCTTTAAAATTCTTTGGAGCACTCTCACAATGCTAGCTAACCTCTTCCAATATTCTCCAGTTTATTAAATCACTGAATTCAGTATTCCAGATGTGATCAGATTAGGATAGTGCAGTGGGACTATAACCTCCCTTGATCTGAACATTATATTTCCACTAAATGGATCCAGAATCACATTAGCTGTTTTGGCAGGTACATTATATTATTAATATATATAACAAATGCAGTCTATGACATCCTTAGTTTCTCTTTCCTCTTTTGTCCAGTTGAAAACATTTGATCCAGGCTTTTCCTATCTTATATTTATGCAGCTAATTGTTTAATCATAAAAACAAGTCATTATATTTATCCCCATCAATATCTTTTTATGAAATGTAGCATTTCATTCCCTGCACATAAGCAGCCCTTTGAGTCCTGAATTTGCCATTTAGCAAGTCCGTGCCATTCTCATATTTGGTGAGTTTATTGGCAATTTTCCTACATCCAAATTAGGAGGTAGAGTTCCAACAGTTCTGAGTTGAATCTCTAGAAGACCCTGGTCTTTGCCATGAGCATTCTGTCTCCCACAAATACACTTTATCAGATGCTTTGCTGAAATGCAGATCCACGGTGACTACAACACCCCCCTATCTAGCTTGTTTAGTAACTGGGGTTTGGGAGAGTCAGGTAGGCATGGCTTTTAATTTTTATGACTCATTTTGTGATTTCTGAGAGTTACTTTCTCAACTATAAAATAGGAATAATTATAGCTGCCCCTGGAGTGATTTTGAGAGAGATAATATATGTAAGATGTTAACAATATATGTATGGTAGCATTCAGTAAAATATAGCAATTGTTGTTAGCTCTTAACAAAAGAAAGCAGTTTTGTCTGGAATAATATTGTTCTTCATAGTCCTTAACACTTAGTGATCACGGTTCCTCATTGTCTGTACTTAGAAGCCATCTGTTTCCTAACCCACTCAAAATGTTAGTCATTTTGAAGATCAACATCCAGTTGCTATGTTAGAGTTTGTAAATTTTTTTCCTTCTTTCCTTCCTTTTTTCTTTTCCTCCCTTCTTTCTGTCCTTTTTCTTCCTTCCTTCCTTCCTTCCTTCCTTCCTTCCTTCCTTCCTTCCCTCCTGAAGTGGGAATATTTGCCTATACTAAGCTCTTTACTACTCTGATTTTTCACAGTTCCTCAAAAACCTTTCGTGATTTCCTCTGTAACCTCTTGTATCAGCATAGCTGAAATTCTCAAGAGACTTGAACTTAGAGCAGGTGATCTCTTCTGTGCTACTGACCTGTTACAGGATTTTCATCCTTCTTAGCCATGTTCCTAAACCATTTTCTGCCTAAAGATTATGATTTAGCCAAAAAATGTTTAAACCAAAGTTAAGCTTGAGCAATGCTAATCCCCACCTCCCATTCATATGACTCCTAACCTTTGGGAAACAAAAATGAGACCCAGAAAGTATCTAATTGTACCTTGTTCATGTCTAAGGATGTATTTGAGCCTTCATGACCAGGAATGGCCCAGGGTCACAGCCAGAAGCCAGTCTGTACACAAGTCAAATCTATTCACTTGTGTTCTTTACTGGCTAGTCTGGAAAAGATGAGGCAACCGTCACTGTGAGTTAAAGTTACATCTTAAATAGCTAAAGTATTTGGTTGGTTAGGTTTTCCAAGTTTCCTTGGATTGAGCAATTTGAGTATTAAGACTAGAACTACTGGTGCCCTGACATTCACAAGGCTGCATTGCATTCATGCACAAGACTAGTCCTCGAGCTCTATCTAATTTAACAATGCTGAGTTCTACTTGAACACATATTTGGTCTATTATTATGCCAGATTCTGTTCTAGGACTCGGATGAACTGAACAGACAACATTCCCACCCTATGGTATATCTGGTCAGGTAAGGAAGGCACATATTCAACTAATAGTTACATAAATAATGGCATATAAAGCAAATGAAGCCACATAAAAATTGTAATAAATTAAAGAAAAGAGGAGAGTACTATGAGAAATAATAACCGGGGACTTTTCAAGATTATAGAATCAGGGAAAGTTTCTCCAAAGAACTGATATCTAAGCCTAGACTTGGAATTTGAGTAGAAGTTACCCAGGTAAAAATATTAGGAGAAAGGCAGTTTCAGGCTAAAAATAGAATGTACAAAGACTTTGATGTAGGAATGGGCAGAAGGGCCATGATGAACCTCAAAGAGGAAGAGGGAGGGGCTGACAAGGAGAGACTCAGCACAGAGCTTGGGGCAGGGGGTGAGCAGAAGAAATATTGCTAATGTGCTTAGAACAAATAATCCAGTCCTCCACAATAGCAGTGATATCCTATAGGGCCAGGCTTAGAGGCCAGGAAAAAGTCCTATGTCCATATGTGATTCACTACTACAATTCAGGTTTCTCTCTAAAACTAATGATTAAATAATGCTGCAGCTGTTCTGTGTGGATTATCGGCTCCATGCGCACATCTGTCTTATTCATTGCTAAGTCCTCTGCCCCTAGCCAAATGCCTGGCACAGAGTAGGTCTTCAATAAGGATTTATTGAATAGGAGCTCCTGGGTGGCTCAGTTGGTTAAGCATCTGACTACCGATTTCAGCTCAAGCCATGATCTCACAGTTCGTGAGTTTGAGTCCCACATGGGGCTCAGTGCTGACAGTGTGGAGTCTGCTTGGGATGCTCTCTTTCCTTCTCTCTTTGCCCCATCCTCTGCTCTCTTTCTCAAAAAATAAATAAACTAAAAAAAATAAGGATTTATTGAATAAATGAGTTTTTTTGAAGCTAATGAAGAAAACTCCATATATTTCTTCATAATACCTGAAAGAGGTATTTTAAACTTACTGTAAAAGTTCAGGAATTACATGACAGCGTAAAGACCCAAAAGAACCAAAAATTATAATGGAAGGTGTTTTTCCAAAATAGAGTCGCAGGGTGAAGCATCTGCTCTTTCTATGGAAGGATGTGTCTTTGAAAAAAATAGTTATTCGTCTAGTATAATGGCTAGAGAGTTGGGCATACTTTATGATAAGTAACTAATTTGATTAATGTCTTTATAGGGAAGAAATTCTTGTATTCGGAGCCACATAAGAGAATTAAGGAAGTACTAGAAGAAGAACTTTATATTAAAAGAGATGAATGCCACATTAAAAATCCACCTGCAGGTAATCTCACTGACAAATAAAGTGTATTTGTGAAATGAAAATGAAATTACCTATTAGATGGTAGAGTGATTCTTTTATTTATTACAAAACCATAACTATCAAAAGAAAAATGGTTCCCTGGGAAATTCTTGAGCTAATTTTATAAATATTTTGCTTCTTTCTAAATAAGCTTATATTTAGATTTTAAAAATGAGCTACGTGGCCATATCTACCTTGCCGCCCCACATTTTTGGTGGATTTATTTCTATTTCATGAGGAGTAGAATTTTTGCCAAGAAAAGCACAATAACATCTTCAATATTTATCAGTATAGGTAAGACCAATAACAGTGATTCCCAAAGTTTAGATTTCATCAGAATTACCTGGGGGATTGGATTAAAAGCAGATTTCTGGGACTCATTCCTAGAGTAACTGGCTCAGTGGTGGGGGTGGGGTGGGGATTGGGCACAATTTGAATTTATACTGAGTTCCTCGTTGATGTTGAAGCTGATGGCGCAGGGACCAATTTGAAACTCGCTGACCCAGGGGTGCCTGGGTGGCTCAGTCAGTTAAGCGTCCAACTTCAGCTCAGGTCATGATCTCACACTTTGTGAGTTCAAGCCCCACGTTGGGCTCTGTGCTGACAGCTCAGAACCTGGAGCCTCTTTCAGATTCTGTGTCTCCTCCTCTCTCTGCCCCTCCCTCCCATGCTCACTCATGCTCTGTCTCTCAACCAGAAAAACGTTAAAAAATTTTTAAAAAGAAAAGAAAATCACTGACCCAGAAAACTCAAAGTCATTTAAATAAGTCAAAGAATCATCCAAGGATTTTACTGTATATACACATAGTTTATGGGTTATATGAGCTGGGTGTTGATTGCTCTCAATGATCGTTCATTTGAGAAAAGGTAAGCTCTAGAAGCCCAGAATCCCTCACAGATGTTATTTTGAAACCCCTGGAGTCCCTCATTCTCATGATTCCTTCCCAGTGACTCCTGGGTGCACATTTCACACTTTTCAAACCATCAGGTTTTTATTGCAAATCTCTTAGGGGCCAGCATTCCTAGAGGAAAGAAAAGAACTGTAAGATGCGACTCCTATACTCAGAGAACTTGACATTTTCTGAGGAGAATTGTTGAATCCCCAGCAGCTGGGGCCCAAATTCTCTAACAGCTGACGCTGCAGGCCCAGAGGTGCATTTTTTTCGGACTCTCCAATTTTTCGGTCCACTTTCCATCACAGAACCAGCCATACAAACACATTTTAGGCCTCCTGTATTGCCCATTCTTACAAAAGGAGAGACCAGCAAAAATGGCCAATTTTACTCACACTGTGTCTTGGAGGAAAATATAAAGTTTGGATGTAGAATGACCTACTAAATTGTTTCTCTGAAACCTAGCCTACATGTACAATTTTCCTACTGGTTAACAAAATTTTTGAGTCTTACACGATTCTATTTTGGGGTTACTTTCATTTATGCGCTTATAAATCTATAATGTATATATTAGACATTGTATTATTATCATGTACAAAATTTGATTGTTGGACAGTCTAAGTGATTAGAAAATATCATTTTATTTATAAAAGTTCATTTTTCTAAGCAATCTTTTCAAATATCCTTCATATAAAATAGAAATGCTTGGGCTGCATTTCCGAAATGGCCACCAGAGGTCGCCAGAGATGCCATGTTAGTCTAGACTGAGAACAGAGTCTGGAAGATTTTATTTTTATTAATTTATTTATGTTGGGTGCACCATTCCTGGAGATACTATGATGCTAGCTCTATGTGCAGAGTGGTTGGAGAAAGCTCCTCTTCCATCTCCCTGCTCCCCAAATCCACTTAATATACTGTCCTCGGATACAGGACATACCGGATATTTTAACTGATCGGAACACATACTGCATTTGATCTTAGCCAAAAGCCCGAGAAGCAATGGAAGGTTAAGTTTTAAAGGGGTTTTACTTATGGAAGACAGAAACTACTCATTTTTTCCCTTTTTCTATTCTTTAAAAAGAAGAAAAATGAAAAAGGCTGGCAGCCCCATGTCCTTGGCCACAGTGGGGAACTAACTCCTAGGGAGGGTGCTTAGTCTCAGAGTGTTGCTGCTCTGGGCCAGCCACTGAGCCTTCTATTGCAGGGTTTCCAGTGACAGTGACATACTCTTTTGAATATATAATGAAAGAGATAGTTTCTCTTTCTGGAGGGCATAGCTTGTCCCATACATGCAGAATTCTGCATAAAACTTTTAGGGGTTTTTATGGCTCCCATAGCAGCTATTCCTAGATGTTAACAGTAAGTGCACTGGACCCTGTTATCTCTACTTCTGCACTTACTGTTTACTCCTTCATCTGCAAATAGGCTTTTGTTTCCATGAATCCAAGGAAACTGGCCTTTTCCCGATGGTGAATGACTGTCCTCTTGAAGGTCAAATCCAATGAGCTTGAAGTCAAATACAGTCCAAAATCGCATCACACTCAACTTCTTTGTAGCATCTCACATAACTGTTGACTCCTCCCTTTGAAAACACTTTGTCAACTTAGCCTCCCGGTCACCGTGCTCCAATCTCCTGTTTTCCTGGTGCTACTCTTTGTCACCTTTGCTGGCTCTCTCTCCTCACGGCTAACCTTTGGAGAGCTCAGTCACACACCCTTTTCTCTACCTATATTCAATTCTTGAGTTATAACATCCAGCCCTTTTCTACTAATGACTTCAAAATTTATATCTCTGGCCTCTGCTTTTCCCCTCAAATCCCAAAAGCTGAACTTAACTTCCCACCTGGGTGTCTACTAGGTCCCTCAAACCTAATATGTCCGGAACAGGACTCTTTATTCCGATCTCAGGAAATGACATCACCGTCCACTCCGTTGCTCAGGCCGAATATCTAAAAGTCAAATCTTCAAACTTCATATCCAGTCCCTCTGCTAATCCTGTTAAATCTACACTGGAAATACATCCTAAATCTCCCCAACCACACCCTTGTCCAAGCCCCCTGACCTCTCCCAAGCCCAGCAGTAGCATCCTATAGCAGCTTCTGCTGCTGTCCCCCAGGTCTGTCTCTAACAGGACCCAGAGGGATTGCTCACAACATAACTCCTTGCACGTCACCTCCATACTCAAAACTCTCCAATGGCTCCTTATTATTCTTAGTCTAAATCTCAGTCCCCTTGTGTGGTCTGCTCACCTTTCTGAACTCAGCCCTTATGCTTTCGCACCCCACTGTAGCCACACAGGTTTTCTTAATGTTCTGGAACATGCCAAACCCATTCCCACCTCAGAACCTTTACACTTCACACTTCACCCAGACCATCAAATGTCTTTCTCCCTCTTCCTTCAAGTTTCAGCTCAAATGTCACCTTTTTGGAGGTAACATCTCTACCAGGTTAAAATAGAAACTACCCACTCCCCCAGTTACTCTCTAATATTTTATACTACTTTCTTCTTTCAGTGCTCTTTTTAAAGATTATTAACTGAAATTAAATATTTATTTGTATACCTCTTTATTGATGATCTCTCCCACATAGGCTACATGAGGACAGGGGCTTTATTTTGCTTACTACAAATCTTCATAAAAGCCAGGTGATACGTGTTATGATCCCCATTTTATGGATGAGCAAACTGAGATTTTGAGAGGTTTTTACTGTCCAAGTTTATGCATTAAGTGGCAAAACCAGATTCCAAACGTGACTCTGACTCTAACTCCCATTGGCTTTGATGCGCTATAGTGTTTCCAGTGACGTGTTATGACTAGGTCCCATGGGTACTGTTTTGCCTTTGGCTGGCTTGAGATTTCTGCAACATTTGACACAGTTGATAGTTCTCTTATTAAACCTTGTTCCTTCCTCACATTCCTTGATGCTAAAATGTCCTTATTCTACTCTTATTTCTCTGAATGTTTCTTCTCATCCTCCTTTAACAACTTTTTTCCACTCACCCTCATCGGTAAATATTGCTGTTTACCAGGGTGTTACCCACAGTCTTCTGTGTTCCATTTGCTTTCCCTGGATCTTCGCCACGAATCCCACTGTTTCTACCACTACCTCGCTATGATGTGTCTGTGTCTGAAATCTGTGTCTCCAGGCCAAATTCCTCTTAGTGGATGTCCCATAAGATCAGTGTGTCCAGAACAAAACTCATACTTCTCCTCAACATACTCCTTTCTATATATCACCCATCCCAATGCATGACATAGCCTAATGTCCAAGTCCAAAACCAGAGAGCCATCCTCCACACCTACTCTGGATCACTGTGTCCCACATCTAATTAGGCTGTCAGGGGTATCTTGTTTTGGGCCAGGATACCTAACTGTGCCAGGTTCATCTTGCAAATATATAGACATATTTACTTATTCTCCATTGTAGTTTTAAAATATACGAACCAGCTGTCAACATTTTAAAAATCAGGACTTTTTACATACAAATCTAGATTTTTACACTATGTTGGGTGAAGTGGGAGAAGGGAGGAGAAAGGAAGGTGTGACAACCAAGTTGACATTCACACATGGCAGCAGTGACTGGAGTTGGGTTATGCCACCCTGGCTGGCCTGCCCACCCTGTTCCCCATTGCACACGGAGTTGCCCAGTCAGGTGGGGCATATCACAAACTATGTCTACACGTCCACTGCAGACTTTCTTCTTTCCTGGTGGAAATAGGAAAAAATGTGTTTCTCTGGCATCCATGCCTCTAACAAAAGTAGAAAAAAATAAGAGTAGGAGAGTCAATTATTTCTTACCCCTGCCCTGCTTTAGATAAAATGTCTAAGTAGTGTATACTATATACTATATATATATATATATATATATATTTTTTTTTTTTTTTTGAATTTGTGACTATAGATAAACTTCTTAGATATGCCCAAGTCTAGGGGCACCTGGGTGTCTCAGTCAGTTAAGCATTCAACTTTGGCTTAGGTCATCATCTCACAGTTTGTGAGTTTGAGCCCCACTTTGGGCTCTGTGCTGACAGCTCAGAGCCTGGAGCCTGCTTCAGATTCTGTGTCTCCCTCTCTCTGCCTCTCCCCTGTTCATTCTCTCTCTCTCTCTCAAAATAAGTAAATAAACATTTAAAAAAATCTAAATTCTAGAGAATTTTGTGCAGCAATGTATGCATTAATTGGGTTTGTCTGAATATTCAAATGATCAACTCCACATCTCTCATAACAATCATATTAACGGAAGTGAGATTTCAGTAAGCTTCCAGGCTGAATTTTCCCTCAACCGTTGATAAAGCACCAAAACGGTAGGTCACATAGCAAAGGGTGAACTTTCCGAAGTGCTTTTACCATCTATTAAGGGGGGGATTTGTGTAAAGTCAAGCAACTCAAATTATAGTGTGTTTTGTTTGTGATCCAACTAATGATGACAATTATGGAAGTGCCCAGAAGCAGACTTCAGTTATTTCTGTGCTTTTTCCCTTTTCCTCTGGTTGAATGAAATTGGTGTAAGATTGAAATTTTCTTTTTCTTGGGTTGAAGGAAATAAATAAAAGTCTGAGATTCATTAATTAGGTTTTATGGACGTGTGACAGAGTAAACATTGCATTTATTTTAGAATACTTCTGTTTGGGTGGCAGTTGGAGAATCAGGGAAAAGAGCTATTTGTCTTCTGGGGTCTTCAGCTAAATGAACTACTGATTTGTTTGTGTGGTCATGTTGTGACAGTGGTTACTAAGAGTTGTGACAACGTTGACATGGGCAAGATGTTCCAGGTGGTTGTTACCCCTTCCTTGGATCTAGGGAAGGACAGCGGCGACCGCAGGAAAAATGGGCTTCCAGGCCACTAAGCCCTCTCTTCTCAGGGATTTTGATTCTTTCCTGGCTCCTGGTACAGAGAGGGGTGGGCTCATGAGAAGCATTGGAGGCTGGGGTAAGTGGTAGATGTGGGTGGAGGGTGTCTACATATATATATATATGGTGATGGCGATAATCATAATAAGTATTATTAATAACATAGTATTATTAACTTTTTACAGTTTTTACAAATTATCTCTTTTCATCTTTGCAATGACCCTGCACTCTTAATATTCCCATTTTGCAGATCTGGAAGCTGAGGCCTAGGGAGGTACAGTGACTTACCCTTCATCACACAGTGCGCTAGGCTTGTCAGAAGCTGATGTCCTTGATCTCAGCCATTCGCTTAGAATGTCTTTTTTAAAACATAAGATTATGTTTTCTGAGATTATTATTATTGAAATTGATTTGGTAGCAAGTAGTGTTCTCTTCAGTAAAAAAAAAAAAACTGTCACAGTCTTTTCCAGGTTCTGCCTCAAGTTAGGTTCAAACCTGAGGTAGAACAGGCTTCAGAGGATTTACACATCCCTGCCAGATAAGGACAGGGTCTGGCCTCTACTCAAAAATGTTCTCATCATCCTGGCAAACAAATGCCATTTTCTGATCAAATCTTCTGTCAGATGAGAATGGATTTGGGGGTGGGGGTGGGGCCTGGGTGGCTCAGTCAGTGAAGTGTCCGACTCTTGATCTTGGCTCAGGTCATGATCTCATGGTTTGTGGGATCGAGCCCCACATTGGGCTTTGTGCTTGCAGTGAAGAGCCTGCTTGCGATTTTCTCTCTCCCTCCTCCTCTGCTCCTCCCCGCCCCCACTCTCTCTCAAAATAAATAATGTGTAAAAAATTTTTAAAAAAAAAGAATGGAATTTGGGCAACTTATGGAATTTTCTGGATAAATAAAAATGTAGCTTATAGCATCATTCACATATTCTTAGTGACTCCCTGAAGATTTCCTCCTTACAACTTTTCAAAATGAAGAGGTAAACTTGTGAGACAGGCATTATCTGACTATTGTTTTCATCTTATCATTTATCTTAAAATTATTTCTACATTTCTAAGAACTTCTACAGAGCATTTTATAGAAATAAATTAGTGTTCTAACTTAATGTTTTCAAGTTGCAAGGGCTTTTATATTTTCCTGACTACAATCTGCAGAGGTTATAGAAATCATGAAAAATTTGATTAATAAAATTTACTAGTTTTAGTTTTCTCTTACACAACATTGCCTTTTGCAACAAATTTCTAAAGTGTCCTGCCAAATCCATTATCTGTGTCTATATGTCCCTGAATGCATATCAACTGTATTTTCAACCTTCTTTATTTATTACATTTAGTACCAATTTAGAAAATGTAAAACATCTCTCAGCAAGTGTGCATGTGTTTGTTATTCATTAATTCATTCAACAAAAATATTTTGTGTACCTACAATGTAAAAGGAATTTACTAGACACCAAAGGCATGTCAAGATAATTACAGAGCCTAGAAGTCATCAAAGAGAAATTTAAATTGCTTAAATTTTTTCTTCCTGTGGTCTAATCTCTGACACAAAGGAAGCCCAGATGATAGGACTCGAAACTGGCTTTTCAAGCTCCAACGGTCATCACAATGTTCAGAGACAGCTGAATGGAACAAAAATATTTTTTTTTTTTTTTATTTATTTCTTAGGAGAGAGAGACAGCGTGAGCAGGGGAGGGTCAGAGAGAGTGGGAGTCACAGACTGAAACAGGCTCCAGGCTCTGAGCTGGCAGTCAGCACAGAGCCCGACGCGGGGCTCGAACCCGCGAACCGCGAGATCATGACCTAAGCGAAAGTCGGACGCTCAACCGACTAAGCCACCCAGGCGCCCCGGAACAAAAATATTTTTGAAGGGCAAGCTTATCTTCCCTGAAGGACCAGGCCAGGTCCTCCTGGCTAAAATTTCTAGCATCAAGTCATGGTTTAGTAACCTTACATTCAGGATAAACACACACACCTAGAAAGGTCTCTGAGTTCAAGGGGCTAGGGGCCGACAAGGGAAGAAGACGGTCCAGAAGATCCTGAGCTTCTAGAAGGGATTGAATTCCTTCCTCTCAGCTTCTCCCTGTGCCTGCTGCCCTTGCTTTTCCAGGTTGTGTGCCAGCTCTGTCGTCTCCCTGGCCCTTCTCCCCTCGGTGTCTTTTCTTCCTCCTCTCGCAATGCATGGCCAGAACTGAGGGCATTGGATTTCTCTTTCTTAAGAAGCTGCTTCAAAGGGCACTTGTGCTTCTTCCTAGGCCTTTTTTTCTCCAGTTGAATGTTATCACCTTCTGTAACTTCTTCGCCCAAACATCATGTCAAATCAAAGTAGTGCTATTTTTTCCAGCGGCCTCTGTCTATCGAATTTAATGTGGCTTTAAAACATAGCTCTGCCTCCTGGTTTCAAACTATTTTCCATTTGCCAGAACTTCCCACAATGTGGAACAAATCTTAATCTATTTCTTTGGTTTCTTTTTAAAAACCTTTTTTTTAATGTTTATTTATTTTTGAAAGAGAAACAGACAGAATGTGAGTGGGGGAGGGCCAAAAAGAGAGAGGGAGACACAGAATTGTAAGCAGGCTCCAGGCTCTGAGCTCAGCACAGAGCCCAATGTGGGGCTCAAACCCACAACTGTGAGATCATACCTGAGCCAAAGTCAGATGTCTAACCAACTGAACCACCCAGGCGCCCCTATTCCCTTGGTTTCTTACTAGGCGTTGTACACAGGGGGTATTTAATAAATATCTGTGGACTCCTAAATCTGAGAGTGTATTACCCAGAAGCTAGAGAGCAGCTCTTTTCTGTCCCTAGACAGGATAGAAGAGGAGGAAACTGGGTGAAATGGCGGGGAAAGATTTAGGTTAGATATAAGGAACAGCTCAAACTTTGTAAGGTCTTGACAGAAGGAGATTGTGGCATCTTCTTTGAAGTTCTTTGAGGGAGGGGGAAGAAACTAACCCTGTCAGATAGCTTCAGCTACTCCATTCAGGAGTGGGAGAGGCAGGTATTGACATCCTGCGTGGTGAGTTAGCTCATGGATCGTGCCTCCAGAAATAGAATCTGCGTCCCTGCTTGGACAGGGAGATCGTTGCCCCTGTAAAACTAATAGCTACCATTTATTGAATGCAAAGCACTTAATTTCATCCAAATCCTATAATAATTATTGAAGCTAGATATTATCCCTATTTTAAAGCTGAGGAAACTGAGACATAGGGGGTTAAACCACTTGCCCTAAGTCATACAACTGGGAGGTGGTGAAGCAAACACTGAAACCCAGATCCCTGCTGAACCCAAACACAGTGCCCCTGATCATTACATGGCACAGAATCCTTTAGGGAGGAATCAAATGTTAGTGTGGATACCAGGAGGCAGCCTTGGATCTGTGAATATTTGGCACTAAAATTTGTAGCCTCAGAAATGGTAAAAACAACACATGGCACTAACCTAAATAAGCTTATTTGACTTGGGTCAGTTTTCTACATGGTAGATATTTACCAAAAGCTTGTTGACTAACTCTCAAGAGCCAAATAAATGCTTTAGGATATGGAAGACGATCTAGTGCAAATCAATGAACTAAAACAACACTTACCAAATGAGGTCAGGATTTAAGACTGCAATCTGCTTTGTATCCATATGCAGTCATCACCTTGGAACATTTTGCTATAGTGTTTTGCAGTGAATGTGTTGTTTCACTCAAGGGGAGATTAAATAACATCAAGCACAATCTATCAGAAGATTGTTGAATATATTTGATGATATGGTAACTTTTGGTTATATTATCTTTGGAAATATTTGCACTTCTAGGAAATAAATCAGAATCAGATAGGGTTGGCTGAATGAAATCTATAAATTAACTAATTTATTCCTGATCCAGTGTGTTTTGTTAGGTATGTCTCTATATTGACTTTTCATCTATTTCTTTGGGGCAGTTGAATTATCTAATTAATGGCACCATAGAGGTTTAATTGCCTGGGGGGTAATTGAATGAACAAACTGGAATAAAAGATTAAATGCTAAAGACCTTGGGTGGTTTGATTAATCAAAATAAACCTCCACCCAAATGACTGAAAAAATAATTACCACATAAATACTTGTAAAACATTTTGTGCTAAAAAGAAGCTAATAATTGTCATCTTGCTTTTGAAAATATTGACAGTGGCCCTGGAAGGGATTTGGAGCTTTAAAAGGAATCTCCCTGTGGGAGGCTTGAAGCCAGGACTACCGAGCAGAAACGGTATGCTGCCACAAGCCAAGTACTACTCGAGGCATGGAGGGCTGAGAAGTAAGATCCGGATGCTCCTGACTTCTGTTGAATCCTGCTCCCCAGCCCCCGAGAGTGCTGATTAGTTCACAGACCAGTGGTGTACGCTTTATTTCAAGTTCACAATCAAAATTCAATCTTCTTTGGGTTTGCTTCTCTCAGGTTACTTTTAGCTTAGCCACTTAACTTCATTATGCAACTCACACGGTAACAATCCAGCTAAGCAAATTACCCCACAGATAGAATAGAAGTTCATCCTCTGAGTTGTACTCCTGACTCTTTGTATCCACGGAAGCCTTTCTAGCACACAGCCAGCCTCACAGGGGCGGGATCTTGCACTGTCCCTTTTTCTGGAAGGATGATCTTTGCTTACCAGTAGAAATGCGGAGAGGGAGAGGAGGGAATTAAGGATGAATCAGGCAACGACTTTGCTTGGCTCCCATAGTTTCACCCCAGTTGAGGTAAAAGGCCACCAGAGTGGGCCCAGTGCACTGTTCCTCACAGACATAAAGGTAGAAACAAAATATTACTCATTCCTCACTGTCATAGCCTGTGTCTGCCAGGAAATTGGTGGTAGGATGTGAAGAAAGCAGGGGACTTGGCACAAAAGCATAAGCAGTGTCCAGATATTCTAGGGACCTGAAATTGGGTATACAAATCCTAAAAGTACCTCTACAGTTGGGAGGTTACCCTAGGATGAAAAGAGATAAGTGGGTAAATGCCAAGCTTGTGGAATACTGTACTGTACTTATTAGTCCAGATTCTTTATGTATAATAATCGCCTTAATGTATATACAACAACCACAGGAAACAGGTAGGGTTCATTTGATGGGTTAGGAAACTGAGGCACAGAATGGTTGAATAATTTACTCAGAGTCACTCAGCTAATGAGTAGACATTCTGAGATCAGAATCCAAACAGCCAGGAGCACCTGGGGGACTCAGTCAGTTAAGCATCTGACTTCAGCTCAGGTCATGATCTCACGGTTCGTGGGTTCAAGCCCTACGTCAAGCTCTGTGCTGACAGCTAGAGCCTGGAGCCTGCTTCAGATTCTGTGTCTCCCCTTCTCTCTGCCCCTCCCCTTTTCATGCTCTGTCTCTCTGTGTCTCAAAAATAAATAAATGTTAAAAGAAATTTCAAAAAATCCAGACACCCAGCCTCCGGGGGGGCCTTTAACCACTAGATTTTATAGCTTCTCTCAGCCAAGCTGTGCCCAAGAGCTGGGGAGTCTGTTGAACCCAAGAGTGGGGTAAGAGCTCAGAAAAAGTGGCCAAAGGAGGAGGGTCTCCTGGGAGGCGGTCTCTAGGATCTGATTCAGTAGGGAGAAAATACAGTCACTAAGAGACAGAGACACAGGGTTAAAGAAAGAAAAACACTTGTTTCTAAAGGGATTCACGCATCAAAAAAGAACCAGTATGGAGATTTGGGTTCAATAGTAAAGGACTAGTGGCCACTATTTGCCATGTGCCAGGCCCAACAGTTAAGTGTTGTATATAGCTGTGTAATCCACGTGTTCACGTAAGATGTGAGTTTTAATTTCCATTTTCCAGGTGAGAAAACTGAGGCACAGAGACATTACATTACTCAAGATCCTGTGTCTAGGAGGTGGTGAGGCCAGCACTACAAACCTGTGTCCGTCTGACTTCTGAGAGGATGCTCTTAACCTCTGGGCCATCATGGCAGAGAATCTAGTCACTGGACCCCAAGGACGGAACCAGTGTGGGTGGGGTTAAACAGGCTGAGGGGATGTGGGTTAGGATTCTGGGAGACGACTATACTCAAAATCCACAAAGATAGCAGTGTCCTGAAGTAATGTTGATTCAGCTCATGTCTGGGCCTCTTGCCCATTGGGGGCTGTTTATTTCAACTTTCCACCCAATTTGTCAGGTTCTAATTATAATGGGTAAATTCATCATTCCAAGAAAACTCACAGAGCAATTTATTTTAAAAGTGAATGATTTGCTAAATGCCATATGAGAAGACTGGTTTGAAGAGCAAATTGCCTTCATTTGAAGACATAAAAGTCCAAGCGATGATTCAATTCATCAGTTGGGGACATATGATTAAAAAAAGTGTGTTTGACTTTGACCACGATTGCATTATTTTCATGTTTACAATTTAGGAGAGACTTGTTTATTGCTCCCACTCATTTTCCCTCATCCACACTACCTTCCTAGCAGCCTCTAGGCCTCTATCTACAGCCCAGGTCAGGCACTAACAGTGATCATGTTATAAAATATAACTGCTATGGTTATATATCTTAGCTTCATTTCTCTAAGTTATCAGCTGCACTTTGCCATATGAAACCCCACTATCACAACTGATCAATCTATATGAATCAGATTGATGACAAGGAATTAGACTTTCCTCATTATCAATGAGAGAGGTAGATGTGAGGCACAGAAATATCATCGGTGAACAAAATCCACAGATAATTTTTAAAAATTGATCAGCAGTAAGGCGTACATTATCAGAAACTCCATGACAACAGGGACCACAACTCTTTCACTAACCACCACGTACTTAGCAAGGAGCCTGGCACAGTATATACTCAATCACTTTTTGTCACAAGAATGACCAATGAATGATGAACCAGGTAGTACATGTTGGACGCCTACTATGTGTTCAGAATCATCTTGCTGCTAACCCAAGTGTGTCTCTCCCTTTACAAAAGTATAGGTTTTCTCTACTTGAGCCTGCTAAATTAAATAGAATGCAAAATAGAGGGGAAAGCAATGGGTCCTATTGATTTTAGTGTGTTCATCATGCAAAGTTGCATATATCGTATAACACCTTCGAATTGATGCTTTCAAAGACAAGTTTTCCATGGATTACAATATTTCCAGGAACTTCTCCCATAGAGTATACTTCAGCTAGACGACTTAGTGGGTCCTCACTGCCACCTTTTTCCTATTCACTTGTGCTTCTTCTCTTTCTCATGAACAATGTGGTCATTGTAGTTCTGACTATTCCAACATTTAATACACATTCCTTAAAATTTAAATTTAGAATCATGATCATCTAATTGTGGTTCTAAAACACATTTGTGAAGCATCCACTACCTTCATCCTACGGACAAGTTTTATTCCTTTCCTTTTATCGTTTCTTCCTTGTTCTTTGGCATATAACAATAGCAGCTAAAGCTGTCAACCCAGCACTTCTGAAGCTTCAATGTGCTACAAGTGACATGGGTGTCTTACTAAAATTCAGCTTCTGATACAGTAGGTCAGGGGTGGGCTCTGGGATTCTGCGTTTCTAACCAGCGTCCAGGTGATACTAATGATGCTAGTTGGGACTCTGAGAAATGAGGGTCTGGAAGACTGAGCTGTGGGTTCTTTAATTACCTGGATCTCACAGGCATGGCTTTTATATTCTGCTCTACCAAATGAAGTACTGCTGGGAACATGAAATCAAATTTAGATTAAAATGGGGTTGGGATTAAGAGCATTTCCCCAAAGTACCAACTTGCTTATTTGTTCGCTGTTTTCTTTACTCTAGGATAAGAGGAATAAATTTTTCCATTAAGAAGAAACTTCCTTCTCCTAATGCCTGAAAAACAAGAGCCCAAGCTTGTTTCACAGTTTAAGATGTGATAAAAAAATGTATATTAGTCTGTAATTGTAATTATTGGTATTAATTCCTATCTATAAGTTAATCCAAGGCAATGGAAGACTATTGGCAAAGTTTGCTAAGCACCTGGAAACAAGGAAGAAGAATATTACACTTATTTTTAGTTGGCACATTTAGAATTACATTGGGATTCTAATTCTGCTTATTTTATTAAATATGTGAAACATAATAAAACAAAGGCATGTTTATTGAGTTTTTACTTCAAGGTAAATATTATAAACCTTAAACCTTCACTATAGTATAATTATGTTCTTCCATTGAAACAAACCAACAAATATGGCGCCTGCGTGGCTCAGTGGGCTAAGCGGCTGACTTTGGCTCAGCTCACGATCTTGCAGTTCGTGGGTTAAAGCCCCATGTTGGGCTCTGTGCTGACAGCCCAGAGCCTGAAGCCTATTTGGAATTCTGTGTCTCTGTCTTTCTCTGCCCCTCACCCACTCAAACTCTGTCTCTCTATCAAAAATAAATAAACATTAAAAAAAATTAAACAAACAAGAAAATAGGGGTGCCTGGCTGGCTCAGTTAGTAGAGCACGGAACTCTTGATTTCAGAGCTGTGAGTTTGGGTCCCATGTTGGCATGAAGCCTACTTAATTCACAAATCAAAACAAAACAAAAAACACAAAAACAAATCCAGGTAGAGGAAAGGTTAGTAAATGAATGATGTAGATGATAAGTCTCAGAGACAACAATTTTAACACTAGTTTTGGTAGAGCCCATCATTTCTCCAGAATTTATCTACTAAATAGTATGGAGCCAGGAAGTTTATAGAGATCTAAAAAAGGATTTTACTAATACTATTAGGTTAAAAAGAGATTAAAAAGAAGGGGGGTAAGAAACTATTCTCCCCCTTCCCCTTGTCAGAAGTAATATATGTGCTGTATAGAAAAATGAGAAAATAAAGAAATGTAAAGGGAAAAATATCATCCAGAATTCAATTCCCAGAAACAATCACTGATAACATGTTGATATATTTTTATTCTTTTTTCCTATGCATATGTTTATTTTACACATTTGAAATCACTGTGTATACTATATACATTTATTATCTTTTTTCATAACATCATAAAAATTTCCCTTTCATTAAATATACCTTTTTTTTAGTTGAGGTAGCCACACAATGTTACATTCGTTTCAGGTGTATGACACAGTGAGTCAACAATTCTATACATTGTGCTATACTTTTCACAAGTATAGTTATCATCTGTCACCATTCAGTAGTATTACAATACCATTGACTGTATTTTCTATGCTATAGCTTTCCTCTCAGAACTTATTCAGTTCTGGGTCTCTCAATCCCCTTCCCATTTTGCCCATCCTTCCACTTTTCTCCCCTCTGGCAACCACCGATTTGTTCTCTATATTTACCGGTTTGGTTTTGCTTTGTTTGTTTTTTAGATTCCACATATAAGTAAAATCACACTGTATTTGTCTTTCTCTGACTTATCTTACTAAGCACAATACCCACTGGATTCATTCATGTTGTTGCAATGACAAGATCTGATTCTTTTATATGACCGAGTCATATTTTGTTGTGTATGTGTACCACAACTTCTTTATCCACTCATCTGCTTTTTAAATGTTTATTATTTTTGAGAGAGAGAGGGAAGCAGAGAGAAAGACGGACAGAGGATCTGAAGCTGGCTCCACTTGACACCAGAGAAGCCCCATGTGGGGCTCAAACTCATAAACTGCAATACCATGACCTGAACTGAAGTCAGATACTTAACTGACAGAGCCACTCAGGCACCCCACCATTCATCTAATTTTTAAAGCTTATTTATTTATTTTGAGAGGTGGGGAGGGGCAGAGAGAGGGGGTGGGGAGTGAGACAGAGAAAGATTGAAAATCCCAAGCGGGCTTCATTCAGCATGGAGCCCAAAGTGTGGCTTGATCTTATGACCTGAGTTGAAACCAAGAGTTGGATACTTAATAGACTGGGCCACCCAGGCACCCCTATTTTATTTTTATTTTACAGAGAGAGCAAGCACTAGTGGGGGAGAGGGACAGAGGGAAAGAGAGAGAGAATCTCAAGCAGTCTCCATGCTCAGCATTGATTCTCTGAGTCTGAGACCACAACCCAAGTCGAAATCAAGAGTCAGATGCTCAACCAACTGAGCAACTGAGGTGTCCCTATCCATTATATAACTTTAAATAATAATTACAGTTAAAAATTATATGTAGTAAAATTTTGCATTTATCACTATTTGATGGACATTTGGGTTTTTCAGTCTTTCATTTTATACACGCCATAATTCTTATTCCTATCCCATTAAAAAATTCTTTTTCATAGTATTCTCGTTACATTTCTTTCATTCTCTTTCTTTTCTAGGCTAAACTCATCTTTTTTTTTTTTTTTTTTTAGGCTAAACTCATCTTAAAACTTCTTCTAGTTCTCAGTTCTCCAGTTCATCTCTCAGTTTTACTGTAATAAATCAAGTCAAGTCAACAAAGATTTGTTGACTGGGTATGTCCCTTCCCTACTTAAAAATATTTGTACAGTGAAACAGTCAATAATCTCTTAAGATCCAAACTTTTCCAGATTTGATATAAAAATTTCCATTTAGTAAATGCACACTAGAAGAGATCCTACATGTAAGCCAATTCCCGCCACCACCATGTTTACGGAACTCTCCATCGCTGGCTGCTTCAAAAATGGTGCTGTGGGCCAGTTGCTAAAATTGGAGAGATTACATTTTAAATCAGTCAAGAAACATAATCCCCCAAAACTACCAGGGGTTGGGGAAAACATTCTCTATTCTTACAAATCACAAATCTTAACCTTCTAAAAATTCTTCCCATCACCTTTTTGCACGTATGTTAGGATACCAGACAAAAAGTGAAGTGAGTGGCAAGTACTGACTTATTCATCTGTTACAAATGATGTCCTGTTTGCACTTGAAGTCCCAGTGTGGCTTTACAAACTCGCTGTCAGGGATTTCCTGCCTTACCTCCACTCTATTCCTGCCCAATGAACAAGCTCCCCTTGTTCATTCTCAACCTCACTGCCTGGGCTGGGTGCTCAGCATCAGTCTCCCACCTCCTGACCAGCCGCTCCCACCACCAAGGACTGATCTCATGGTTCTGTTTCCTAGCTAAGGTTTCTATACTTATTCTATTTTGGGCTCCTGGTTCCTTTCGTAGCTAAATTCTGCTCTCCATTGCCCCGTAGTACATCCTCCCATTGGATTCGTGGACAGGGTTTTTGATGCCAGCATTATGTATAATAGTGGATAACTGAAACCATCTAAATGCTAAAGATAGGGGATGGTTTTAAAAATTACAATATGCTACAGCTGCTTTTTAATTCAATAAGCATTTTTAGTAAAAACTTTTTGAGAACCAGAATTACAAGGATACTTCTTTAAAGTGATAGAAATCTATAGCCATCTTAAATCAATAGCCATTTTAAAAATTCAATAAAATATGCTAGAAGCATTCCTTCTAAGGTCAAATAAAACAAAATAAAATTTTTTTAGAGTTGTTTGAAGCTTGCTACTTTTAGTTTCCATTTTATATGCTCCCAGCCTAAGAGTCCTTGAATTTTTTCAGTTCAGGCTGAAGAAGTTGCTGAAGGGTAACTTGGTGTCATAGGGTTTGCACCACAATTTCTAATTTGGCCAAATACTCATGGCAAAAGTATCTGTGAGCACATAGATGATAAGATTAGAAGTAGATTTGCAGAGCTAAAACAATCCTCAAATTTGTATGGAACCACAAAAGACCCCAAATAGACAAAGCAATACTGAAAAAGAAAAACAAAACATGATTCTGGACTTCAAGCTATACAACAAAGCTGTAATCATCCAGAGAGTGTGGTACTGGTACAAAAACAGACACATAGATCAATGGAACAGAATATTGATCTGTCAAAATATGGTCAAGTAATCTTTGATAAAGCAACAATATGATACAACAATATGGTCAACTAATCTTTGATGAAGAAGGAAATAATATGCAATGGAAAAAAGATAGTCTCTTCAATAAATGGTGTGGGGAAAACTGGATGGCAACATGCAGAAAAATGAAACTGGACCATTTTCTTACTCCATACACAAAAATAAATTTGAAATGGTTCTCCTAAAGGAGAATGAAGGCAGCAACCTCTTTGACCTTGGCTGCAGCAACTTCTTACCAGACACATTGCTGAAGGCAAGGGAAACAAAACAAAAATGAACTATTGGGACCTCACCAAGATAAAAGCTTCTGCACCCGGAAGGAAACAATCAACAAAACTAAAACACAGCCTAAGGAATGGGAGAAGATATTTGTAAATGAAATTTCTGATAGTATCTAAAATCTGTAAAGAACTTATCAAATTCAACACTCAAAAAAAAAAAATAACCCAATTAAGAAATGGGCAGGAGACATAGACAGTTTTCTAAAGAAGACATCCAGATGGCTACAGATACATGAAAAGGTGCCCAATATCACTCATCATCAGAGTGATGAGCAAATAAAAATCATGATGAGATACTACCACTTCACATCTGTCAGGATGGCTAAAATTAACAACACAAAACCAACTCATATGTGGAATTTAACAAAACAGATGAACATATAGTAAGGGGGGAGAAGAGAGGGGAACCAGCCACAAGAGACTCTTAATGACAGAGAATAAACTATGAGTTGATGGAAGGAGATGGGTGGGAAATGGGCTGATGGGTGATGGGTCCCAAGGAGGGCACTTGTTATAATGAGCAGTGGGTGGAAGTGAAGAATCACTGAATTCTACTCATGAAACCAATACTGCATTGTATGTTAATGAAAAAAAAAAAAAAAGGAAAGAAAAAAGATTAGAAGTAGAAAGTAAGGAGTACCTGGGTGGCTCAGTTGAGCATCACATAGTTGTTGAGATCCAGCCCCACGTCTGGCTCTGTGCTGACAGTGTGGAATCTGCTTGGGATTCTCTCTGTCTCTTCCCTGTTTGCACATGCTGCATGCACTCTATCTCAAACTAAGTAAATAAAATTTAAAAATATATCAGAAATAAAAGAACAGGGGTTAAAAGAAGCATACGTAGGCAATCTTAACTGTTGCATCTTGAGAGGAATTTGTAATTCATCACCCTATTTTTTTCTACTTTTTTATATGTTTAAAGTATTTCATAATATGTTGTTTTCAAGGATTAACTTTAGATATAAGGAAGCATTTATTCAAAGAAATAACTTAAAGGCTGAGGAAGACCTTCCTTGGTCATTTTTATTTATTGAAAAACAAAACAATCACAGGAGTTAGATACATCTCCAGAACTGTTTGGTTGTTCCTTCCTCTGAGAACAGTCCACCTCCACATCCCTGACTTCCTGCCCCCACTAATCCACTGACCACCACTGCTCTGGACTCTGTTCTCTAGCACGGCTAAATTCACCAGGTAGACAAAGCCCAAAGTGGCCCAGGTGGATTCTTGCTGCCAAAGATTTAAACTTGAGATTCAGGGCACCAGGGTGGCGCAGTCAGTTAAGTGTCTGACTCTTGATTTCAGCTCAGATCATGATCTCAGGGTTCTTGGGATTGAGTGTCAAGTCAGCCTCTGCACTGACAGCATGAGCCTGCTTAGGATTCTCTGCCTTCCTCTCTCTTTGACCCTCATCTGCTCTCTCTCTTTCAAAAATAAATAAACATTTTAAAAATAGTGTTAAAAAATTTTAAAAGTGGGTTTCTGTGAGACTCATTTCTCATATGATAATACATTTTGCCCCCCATCCAGCCTTTTTTTTTTTTTTTCTGGTTGAAACCTGCCTCCAATAGGTCACTATAACTACAATTAACAGAATCCTTACTAATAAAACCACCTTTAGTTTTATCTGTCTTAATTTTAGTGCTTGTTTGTAGCACATGTGTGTGGGCTAACCTGTTTGACTCTGGTTTAAAATCCACATCTCTGTTACTGAGAGAGAGAGAGTAGAATCTACTGGGTAGAGAGACTTACGTCTAGCCTCTTCCCCCAGGGGAAACTTGCTTCCCTTTCACTTGAAAAACTTCCTTGGCAAACTGATGAACTTTGCCTAACTAGTTGTAAGTGGAGATGAGAAAGGTGCAAAGGTGGCCTGAAAGAACCTCTACTCTGACAGTGACCCTTGATCAGTGCAGAGGTGACAAGGGACAAAGTGACAATGCAATCGACAAAGTATTGCTTCTAGAGTCACATGAGTAGGGTTACTGAACATCTAACATATCCCGGGTTCTGATGTCAGTCTTTGGACTCTTTAGGTCTGGAATTACTCTAAAGCTATAGTTCAACAGGGTGGATTGAGTGTAATAGCTGGCATGTCTTACCAGGGCAGAAACATGTGTCTATCTATTCAGATATACCTCATGAGCCTGGCACATAATTGGCCTTCAAAAAATGTTATCTCATGAAGTTACAGCTTTTGTAGGTTTCTAAGCCCAAACAAGGTCTGCCTCTACTGTAGTGTGGCAGGTGTCAGTGTAGACCATTCTCAGTCCTGTGTTGTTTGGAAAACTCTTTAGGAAAAAAAAAAAACCACAACAGCAATAGCTCTACAAGCTGATGATGACAAAGGTGCCATGCTAAAATATATCAAAGTCAAGAAAAACTGAAGTACTTCATATTTCAAAGGTACACAGCAAATCCTGTCATATCGAAATCATCAGGCAACAATCTCCATCATTCTTTCTCAAAGTATGGACTGGGAAAGGGGCCAGGATAGCTTCAAGGGAGCTGGGAGGCAAAACAGCTGTTCAGTGGTGGACCCTGTGAACAGGAGGTAAGACAGCATCTACCACTTTTGTTCACATCTGATTTCTCCTCTCTGACTTTAAGAGTTGCTGCTGTTTCCCTGCTTGGATGATCCAGGAAATGAAGTCTTTGCACAGTGAGCTCACTTGAGAAAGAAGTTTCCTTATTTCATTGAGCCCCGTGGTGCTGCCAACACAGAAGTACTTGCCTTGCAGTTAGATAGTTAGGGCAGTGTTTATTCACCTGTCTTTATCTTTCTCCCAAGACAAATGGTCATTGAATTGCACTAAATGTAACTGAAGGTGAGTACAGACCAAAGCGTCTTTTCAGAGTTGAAAATAATCCTATTACAACCGGCATTATTAATGTGCGCTCAACCTTATGCGTGTAAGATGTCTGGGCTGTGGTTTATTTGGCCCCAGTAAGCTTGACCTGGAATCATAAATATGTGGCTGTCTTACCTCTTCAGGAATTTTTCTTCCCTTGCCATTTGAACAATCTAGACGTACCCTTCCATTTTCCATGCCTTTCCTAAATCATTTGTGCGTCACTAATTTTGTTCACTTCACCCACCAAGTATTTCTTAATATTGCTAGTGCCTCAACCCCTTTTAAGAGGTAGAATCACAGGAACGAGTGTGATGGAGCCCAGTCTGACTACTGTTCTCTTCTGATTGGCTACTTGAGGGAAATTTACTGGTCAAGGCAGAATTACCTGATTTCTAGGAAAAAAATGCATCTTCTTTCCATTTTCCTTCATGAAGTTGCCCTGGGGCTGTGTGAGAAGTAGGGTAAAGACAAGGGGTGGGGGACAGGTAGTCAGGATCCCTTCCTCCATCTGCAGAGAGTGGTGGTGCCTCACAGAATTAAGGTCAGGTCCCGAGTTAGGATCTGGTTGCCTTTAGTGTAGCCACACACATAAGTACTAATGTGGGGCAGGTACCACAGTGAACCCCAGTTTCGATATATTTGAGTTTCTGTGACTGTGTAGGATTTGTCCTAACTCACTTGAGTCAAGTGAGCCTTGGGATTGGGGTAGAAGGACAGTGCACTGGTGAACCTGGAGGGGATTTGGGGAGGCCAGTTGATACTTAACAAGATTTACCCTACCCTTCTGCTGTATTATTTTCTTAGTAATTATTTTAGAGTCCTATTTTTTTTTAAAGATTTTTATTCTTAAGTAATCTCTATACCTAATGTGGGGCTCAAACTCACACCCATGAGATCAAGAGTCACTTGCTCCACCAACTGAGCCAAACAGGCACTCTTAGAGTCCAAAGCCTTTTGCATAATCTTCATGAGTGCAGAAATGAAATTGTTTCGTGTCTCCTGAAATGTAAAATTAGGACTGGTGTTCATTCATTTATTTATTTATTTAACAAATATTTATGAAACACCTCATGTTGCCAGGCATTGCACTGTGTGATGCTAATATGTTTATTTCAATGTCAAAATAACTTTCTTTTTTTAAAGTATTTTTTGAGAGGGGGAGGGGCAGAAAGGAGGACAGAAAGAATCCCAAGCAGGCTCCATTTTGTCACTGCAGAGCCTGATGCAGGACTTGATCTCACAAAGGTGAGAGCATGACCTGAGCTGAAATCAAGAGTCAGACGCTTAACCACTCAGGCACCCCTTATTTTCTTTTGCTTAAGTCTTGTATTCCATAATGTTTACATGTGACGGCAAATAATGTCTATTTTAGGAGGAAGTAGTTTAACAAGAACAAAAGCAGTCAGAAATCCTGCAGATATTTAAAGAATCATATAAATATTTCTAACATTAATTAAACTTTCACCATGTACATTTTCTGAACATCCAAAATTCTTGTATTACTTTTCAGTCAAGTAAGCGCGCGAGAGGAACGTGAGTACATAGGAGTGATATCCTAAAGTAAATGTAGTAAGTTCTTTTACTGTCCTTTCATACAACATCTTTCAGGGGAAGTAAAATTTTGCACTTGGGTAAAAAGAAAAGACCTTATAAATTGGTGTTAGGTTTGTTTTTCTACCAATGATTTCATAAGGCAGCAAACAATACACTGGGGATTGTTGTTGAATTTACACAATTCATAGCAATTTTTAACTAACAATCATCTCCACACTCAACTGCCCAACTATGTACACTTAAAGAATTGTGCCTGGCGACGAAAACAATCTTTACCTATTTGCATCAGTGTTAGCCTTTCCAGGCATACCTGCTCATGGACTGCTCCTCACTTCCTTGTAAGTACATAATACGGGGAGGGCTCTGGATTGCCCTTTTCTCTTTTCAAAGAAAAAAATGGAAAGTATACTTAGCAGGCCAATTTTGAGTCACAGAAATCTTAAATCCAACCAGAAATAAGAACCCATCTGAAGGTAGCCTCATGGAGCCCAGCTGACAGCTTGGTGCCTGCCGGTGGAAAGGTCTAAGGCAGTCAGAATGTATTTGGGGGATTCCTAGGAAATACCAGATGTCTCCGGAGAAGAGCACCAGGGCAGGCTTCAAATGTACCATTTTCCCAAGGAAGAGCAAAGAATGAGTTATAGACTTTTAGCAGCCAGAGCTGTCTTTGTCCTTGGTCTCAGAGAATTCTGTCCTATATCAGATTTTGGAACTGAATAGATAATCCTTGGACACACTGTGAGCTGATAATTCACTTGGCTTGATAAAATGGGCCTTGAATTATGGACCTTTCTTCTACACTGCATTAGCAATCCCCAGGGTCCTAAAGCCCTTCTTTACACCTGACCGTGTTGTCTTCATACTTGCAACTTGCAAGCCAGTTCTTTCTGTGCAGCACTCCTTGGGAACGGAGAGGCCCTTATGTACACAAGAAATACTTGGTTTATTGTTACCAAATTAAAGAGAATCACAGAAATCTTAAAATTCTAAGAATTTTAGAGTAACAATTTTAGGATTTAGAATAACAAATGCTTCCTGTGGGCTAGTACACAGGTTGTTTGGGGCCACCCACTAACTCCTCCTTTTCAGATAACCGCATTTTTCCCTTTGGGGAACTCCCCTCGCGTCACTGTCCGTCCACCAGGTTTAGGTAAACCTACACTGTAGCTCAACAAGAAGATCTGAAGAAAATCCACAGCTCCTGACCACAGTGACAGTTTCAAGAATGAGCATTTGGTGCAGGTTGGGCCAATGAGTCAGCCTAATTTGATGGAGTTTCCGATGCTGGTCATCAGGGTTCTAATTCATGTGTAGCATTTACACCTGAAAGCTTAAGGGACTGCTTAATGTCACAGCAAATCATTCACATAGCTAGTTTTTTCTGATACTTACACACTTTCTAGTAGGGATCAACTTACCAACAGATTATTTCAGCAATACACTAAGAGCCTTCATTTATCCAACAAGTATTCAATGAGATGACGAAAACTACTAGATGCCTGGTTCTGTGCTAGGGAACGGAGTTGTGAATGAAATACGATCTCTGCCCCATGATATTCTGAATGATGACTATATGGGAGCACACAGGAGGGTAATGTAACCTACCCTGGATTTGTGCACATGGGGGCCCAGGAAGGCTTCCTGGAGAAAGGGCCTGGCCTCCTAACTATCTCTGAATCGATTCTCCTTTAATTGTAACTTAATTGCATTCTCATATCTACTGTCTCAGTTCAGGCATTTTGTTTCATATCTGAATCATAGCAATAGCTTTCCAACTGGATTAGATACTTGTGTTCTTATCCTGGTCCTTAATTCCCAATTCATCTCTTACTGATGAAAGAATGACTTTTTTTCTTAGAAACATTTTGCTGAAGTATAACAGACATACACAAAAGCACATGTGTAAGTCTGTAGCTTAATGAATTTACTCAACAAACACACTCAATTAACCAGTGCCTCTGTCAATGAGCATGGTCAGCACACCAGAAGCCTATCTCATGTCAACTTCCATATACTCACCTCCCCTCACAAATGAGTCTTTGGTTTTGTTTTTTAAGTAGGCTTGTAGCCCAATATGTGGCTTGAACTCACAACCTTGAGATCAAGAGCTGAGATCAAGGGTTGGGTGCTTAACCTTAACTGAGCCACCCAGACACCCTGGCAAAAGAGCTTTTAAAAATACTCATTATATTGATCACTTGCTTTGTTAAAACCATTCGAGGACTATCTTCAGGATAAAACTCCATCTCCTTAACCAAACTAAAACCCCAGTGAGTTCTAACCTACCTAGTGATTTCATCCTCACTTTTTGGCTGTTGCTACACTGCTCCTTCTGTTTAGACTAACATCTCAGCCCTCTTCCCAATTTTAATTATTCTTAATTATTCCAGGAATCACCTTCTCAAAGCCTTCTATGTTTCCTTCTCTGCACTGTTTCAGATTCTTGAAGGTAGAAATAGTATTTTTCTTTTTTCTGTAATTTTTAAAACTGTTTATTTATTTTTGAGAGAGAAAGAGAAAGACAGAATGTGAGCAGGGGATGAGCAGAGAGGAGACACAAAATCTGACAGGCTTCAGGCTCTGAGCTGTCAGCACAGAGCCCAAGGCGGGGCTCAAACTCACAAACTGCAAGATCATGACCTGAGCGGAAGTCGGATGCTTAACCAACTGAGACACTCAGGTGCCCCTAGAAATAGTACTTTTCATTCCAGGTTCCCAACTGGTTAAATAAATAAATGAGAACACCTGGCTTTGTTACTGTCCCTTAACACCTATCCTCCTTTCCATTCCTCTAAAATGAGAACCGTTGCTCAGGGAATAAATCAATGAGTATGATCTTCAATCAGTTGTTTGTAGAGCAGTCATGATTGGTTTCCATTGATTGACCTACACCCTCCTACCTGGTATCCCTTCCCCCATGAAGAGAAGACTAAAGTAGGAGTTTGTGACCCCTCACCCTACCAAGGTAAGTAGATACAATGGAAATTGATATTCATGAGATATGAGCCATTCTGCCAATAAAAAGCTGGTTTAATTGGAATGTTCAAAGGACTTACAGGAAAATTGGGAGGGGGGGAAGGAAGCAAGCAAGAAGGCTAACATTTACCAAATGCTTACCTACCATGTGCTGGATACAACATTAGCCTCTATCTGTGACGTCTTTACTTCAAGTGGGAGGGGAGTGTGCATAAGCATACAGGTTTTAGAACTCATAAAAAGAAAATCCAATATATCCTTTCCTTCACTTGGCTGAGAAAAGTTATTTGGGCATGTATAGCTTTTTTTTTAGAATTAAAAATAACAGTGGAACTGAAATTCTTAATTTCAATGACAAGTTGCTTAAGTAGCTTAAAAATTATTCTATGAAATTAAAAAAAAATAAAAGAACAACAGTATAACAGGTTTTAGTGTGTAGGAGAAAGTGCCACTAGTTTGATGGGTATAGCCAGAACGTCTAATGCTGTCCAGCTACCAAATTGTCCCTGTGGGTTCAGGAGGCAGTGCCATATGAAACCATCTTTATAGAAGCTTTTACAATCTTCACTTGTTTTCAAATATTTATTTTGAGAAGAGAGGGTGTAGGGATGGGCAGAGAGGGAGAGAGGAAGAGGAAGAATCCCAAGCAGGCTCCACGTTGTCAGCACAGAACCCAAGGGGGTGGGCTCAGTTCCACAAACTGGGAGATCACGACCTGGGTGGAAATCAAGAGTGTGATGCTCAACCGACTGAGCCACCCAGGTGCCCCCTCTTTACTTGATTTTCAATGGAAAAATTCTTCCCAGTAAATCCTAATGGCAGATCCAAGGGTCCCCCCCGCCCCCCGTATGCATAATATCAAACATACCTGACAGGCTGGCCCCATTCCCAGCAAATCCATTTCTCCTCTAACATCCATAACTTAGTACGGCACTGGGCTGACATAAATGAAGGCCTAAACCTAGAAATTCAAATTCAATCTGTAGGAATAAAAATGTTGCTCACGTGACTGTAGAAACAGAGGCCTGGATTGTTGAATCACGGATACAGTGGAAGTGGCTGTGAGATACTCATCTTTTATAGCGCAAACCCGGATGCTATAATATTTGTGTTGGGTGTCATTTTACAGTCCAGAGTGCTTTGCATTATCTTCATGAGTACAAGCAGCAAGTTCTTTGAACATAAAGGCCGAAAGGGCTGTATGTTTATCTTTGGGCTGGGAGTTCTCCTCGCCCTTGTACCAAGAATGTTCTGGGCGGGCAGTGAGGAGTAGTTAGGCGTGGAGTGAGAGAAAAGAATGTTTCAAATTGCTTAGAAAACCTTTCATCCTTCGGATCCTCTGCTGCGGAGGAAGGCCGAGGCAACGCTCTTGTGGCAGAAGGGTTTAGTTAACTATCCACCCTGAGAACTTGGTCTCACAAACGCGCAAGCCCTGTGGGTCGCGCCACTGGCCTGTCCCGGCGGGTCACGAGGTCACGGGCACCGCCGCGGCGGCCGCGCCTCAGCCCGCACGTTTCCGCGGCCTCTCGCGCTCCCTCCCTCCGGCAGGCGTCGCTGGCTCCGGCTGGCGGTGAGGAAGGAAGCGGACTTGATCTTCCGTCGCGACGCCCGGGGGCTCGGCACCCCCAGCCCGCCTTCCCCGCGAGCCCGCGCCTGCCCCGGCGCCCTCTGCACGCGCCCGGCGATGAGCCGCGTCCTGCCGCTCCGGGAAGGCGAAGGTGCAGGCCGCCGCGACTGAACGCCGAGGCGCCGCTGGGAGGGCGGCGCGGGCAGGCCCGGGCTCACGGCCAGGGCTCTGGGCGCGCGGAAAGGGCCGGGACCCCCGAGGCGGGGTCCGGAGGAGGGGGTGAGGCGCCCGGGCGGCCCAGGACGGGGCGGGGACGGGCGGAGGCGCGGCAGGAAACGCCCGGGGCGCGCCGTGCGGGTCGGGCCGGGGGCGCGGTGGAGGGGAGGGACGGGGCGGCGCCCGGCCGGGCGGCCCGGCCCGCTCACCTCGCCCTGGCGGCGCGCCCCGCGGGGACCCTTCGGGAGGAGTGCCCGGGCCGCGAGCCTGGGGACTCCGGGACCGCCCTCTCCCGCTCCAGGGCCGGCGGCGAGCGGCAACGACGGCTGGAGCCGCGGCGGCAGCATGAGAGCGGGCGCCGCTGCTCCACGCCTGCGGACGCGCGGCGAGCGGCGGCGGACGCGCCTGCCCGCGCCATGGGGGCGCCGTGGGGCCGGGCGGCCGGCCGGCGCTTCGGGCGGCGCCGGGGACGTCTGCCGAGGGCCTCCGCGCTGGCGGCCGCCGGCCTGCTGTGCACCGCCCTGGCCGCCTTCTCCTGCTGGCGGCAGCTGCCGCCGCTGCCCTGGGCGTCCTCCGCCCCGCCGCGGCCGGTGGGCGTGCTGCTGTGGTGGGAACCCTTCGCGGGGCGCGACAGCGGCGCGAGGCCGCCCCCGGACTGCTGGCTGCGCTTCAACATCAGCGGCTGCCGCCTGCTCACCGACCGGGCGGCCTACGGGGAGGCGCAGGCGGTGCTTTTCCACCACCGTGACCTCGTGAAGGACCCCCGCGACTGGCCCCCGCCCTGGGGCGCCCCGGGTCGCGGGGCAGACGAGCTGGAGCTGCGGGTGTTGGACGACGAGGCGGCGGCCGCCGAAGCCCTGGCCACGCCGGGCCGCAGGCCCCCGGGCCAGCGCTGGGTGTGGATGAACTTCGAGTCGCCCTCCCACTCCCCGGGCTTGCGGAGCCTGGCGGGGAACCTCTTCAACTGGACCCTTTCGTACCGGGCCGACTCGGACGTCTTCGTGCCTTACGGGTACCTCTACCCCAGGACCCATGCCAGCGACCAGCCGCTAGGCCTGGCCCCGCCGCTGGCCCGGAAACGGGGGCTGGTGGCCTGGGTGGTGAGCAACTGGGATGAGCGCCAGGCCCGGGTCCGCTACTACCACCAGCTGAGCCAGCACGTGTCGGTGGACGTGTTCGGCAGGAGCGGGCCTGGCCGGCGGGTGCCCGACATCGGTCTCCTGCACACAGTGGCCCGCTACAAGTTCTACCTGGCCTTCGAGAACTCGCAGCACCTGGATTACATCACCGAGAAGCTCTGGCGCAACGCGTTGCTGGCCGGGGCCGTGCCCGTGGTGCTGGGCCCCGACCGCGCCAATTACGAGCGCTTCCTGCCCCGCGGTGCCTTCATCCACGTAGACGACTTCCCTAGTGCCTCCTCCCTGGCTGCCTACCTGCTCTTCCTCGACCGAAACCCAGCGGTCTACCGTCGCTACTTCCACTGGCGCAGGAGCTACGCCGTGCACATCACCTCCTTCTGGGACGAGCCCTGGTGCCGGGCCTGCGAGGCTGTGCAGAGCGCTGGGGACCGGCCCAAGAGCATCCGCAACTTGGCTCGCTGGTTTGAGCGGTGAAGCCGAGGTGTAACCCAGGGAGGTCCGGAGGTCCGATCGTCAGCTCTTTGATCCTCAGCTGCGCACCTTCTTGACTGTTGAATCATGGGACCGAGTTTTCCAAACACCCATTGTTACTCTACGGGGGAAAGGTGATTTACCAGTTAATACTGTTCAGCGGAAAGACTGGGTAGGAAGGCTCCCTGGTTCTCCTGGGGTTTTATTTGCACAGCTAGCAGTTGGGCTCTGTCTGCCGTAGGTGGGCATCAGTGTTCAGCAGTGAAAGGAGCCCTTACTCACCTTGTAACCAGGACAGAGGTGAAGCAATAGCTTAGCTACCAGAAGCCTTTGAGTCAGTTGTTCTGACTTTCCTTGTCTGTCACAGGCCATATATGTGGCTTGTGCTGAATCCAAACACACACACTGCTCCTTGATTCACATTTCACTGGGTGAATGTGCAGCAAGTCCCCAGTTTCAGAAAGAGCCTTGTTGCGGAATAGTTGCAGAAAGGACTGTGGCCACAAGTGGGTCTTTCTCTGTTGGTTGGATTCCCCAAAGCCTCGTCTCTGAAAAACGGTGAGGAGGGTGGTCCAATAATCCATGGACTGTTCATTAACAAGTACTGTTTGTTCTCTGTCCTATGAGTGCAAAAAAGACGGTAGATTGTCCTTGGAGCAGAGTTAGGTTGAATATACAGGTGTACCTCACTTTATGCACATGTATTTTTGAAAAGCTGCTTTTAAGTCAAATCCTCAATTCACTCACTGCTTTAGGAGAGGTCAGTATTTAATGCAACCCTCTGGAGAATCCCTTTACAATGTGAATAATCATCTCCTAACTTATTTCCTCTGTGTCTGTTTTTCTATAAACAAAAATTTTTAAAAGTATATTAAAATTAGAGATGTGAAAAAAAGCAGAAGCAACCTTCTTCTCTCTCTGTCTAGAAAACCAGCCTGTGTTTACAAACAGAAGAGAAGGAAGCCACAGTGCCACTTTCCACAAAATTATTCTTATCATTTTACTGGATGGCAAAATTAAGCAGGAACGTGCTGCTGGCAGTACCTGTCCGCAGGACAGAGAAAGAGACTGTACCGCAATATGGAATAAGGCAAAACGAAAGAAAGTTTCATAGTGTCTATTAGTGGCAGTTTTTGTTTCTGTCCGTGTTTAGTTAAATGTTTAAATGCTAGGGAATGGAACTAAATTAGTACCTGCAGTGAGCTGTGGCTTTTGTTAAAACATAAATCTGCTATTCTCCCCAGGGCCAGCTAGTTCCCCTCCTGGTCTGCACAGTAGTATACCTGGTATGGCCTCACATTTCTGGTGCCCTTGAGCCTGTGCCATGGATGAACTTTGAAAATATATGCATTGCCTTGAAAAGTTGTTGAACAAGCAGCATATTTACTAGGAGTCACTGCATGCCGACTCTGTGCCAAACTCTGCGTTTGAGGTATCAGGAGACACACAGATGTGTAAGGCAAGGTCCTTTTCTCTAAGGCTGTGAGAATCTGCTCTTGCCAACAGGTAAAATAGAACTTTGATAAATCAATTGGCAGAACCTATTTGTTTAAAGTGACATTCTTTAATACAGGACATAGGTCAATTACTAGAAAGCCAGTTGATTTATAGCCTCAAATAATGGTTTATTTTTCTCTTTGACTTATTATAATAAGGACCCTCAGTGACTGATTATGGTGGGTATGGTCTAAGATTAATTAGGTTTATATAAAGCTGTGCTGTAAACTGTAATTTTGATTTTGATTAGGACGATTAGCTGAATCATAAAGTAAGTTTTATCTCTACGTGTATTTGTTGCAGACTTGCTTAAAAAGTTCACTAAAATCCAGGCTCTTCAATTCTTTTTTTTTCCTTAAAAGGAGAAATTAAAGCCCATGGATAACATTTCCTTATTAAAATATTATAGTGTGGGTGGAATTACAAAGTATCAGTCAACCAATAAAGAAAAAGGAAAAATTCTTATAATGAATATTTGTGAGATATTGGCCAATGATCTTGGTGTTACTGGGAATCTATATGGGCAGTGGGCGAGTGGATTTTGAAGGTTATCTGGCTTGAATTCCAGCTGTGTGACCTCTGCAAATTAGTAATAACCTTGAAGGTGACTGGGTGGCTCAGTCAGTTACACCTCTGACTCGATTTTGGCTCAGGTTATGATTTCATGGTAGTGAGATCAAGCCCTGTGTCTGGCTCTGCACTGGGCATGGATCCTGCTGAAGACTCTCTCTCCCTCTCTCTGTCCCTCCACTGCTTGCACTTGCTCTCTCTCTCCCTCTAAAATAATAACAACATCAGCCTTGAACCTCAGATTCCTTATCTGTAAGACGGGTAGGGAAAGTACCTCATAGCTCATTGTGAGCATTGCGGGAAATAAAATAAGTAAAGGGGCCTAACACATAGCAGTCACTCAATTGGTAAGAGAGATTTTTTTTTTCCCCTTCTTGTGCAGTGATTTCAGGGTGCCTCCATATCCATTTGTATGTCTAAATTTAAATCTCAACCTATGTTTCAGGATATATCTCAAATAAAAAGGAAGAGCCCTCATATTGTGAATTGCAGACGTATCCCTAAAACTAAACCCTATTGTTTCAAGAATCATCATTGGTATTTAGAGGGAGCTTGAATTTGCAGACTAGGAGGGAATACCTATTCTTTCTTTGAAAGAAATTGTTAAGTTATATTGTTACGTGAGTATTATTTTACTAATGTTCTTCTTAGTTACAGTAACTCTTGTTAAAACTAACCACTTATTTAGTGAATATTGAGTGTAAGGAAGGTATAATTGCATTTTTATTTGTGTGCAAATTTTGGGTCCGTTACAGCTAGAGTAGTTTTTGAGACTGATTTCATCAAACAGTAAGAGAAATATGGTAATTGCTCATCTTAGGTTATTTTTCATATCATTCTAATTGGGTAGGTTAAAATTTCATATCTGGTAATATAAAAATGTGTATAAATGTGTCATAGGTCTTTTAAAATGTCTTTTCTATGATCATCATGCCCTCCCTTTAAGGCATAAACTTTACTTTCAAATTTATTACAAATTGGATATTTTTAGCACTTGATGACTCTGATGATACGATTGTACCTGGAATGATACTGGGATCAGGAAGACAGTGTGACTGGCTTTCAGTATCTACACTCCTTTCTGGTGTCCAAGCCCTTCCCTGGCGGTAAGTCAGGACTCTTCTCGGAAAGAGTACGCAATTGGGAGTCAGGACTTGGATATGTGTTTCTGCCCCCTGCCGTCCTGATTAGGCAAGTTACTTAAACTCTCTGTGCTTTACCTTCCTCCTTTGTAATGCATGAATGCCAATGCACAAATGCCCCTGCCGAATGAGGATTACATGGGACAATGTACACCACAGTGCTTTGTACATTGTGAAGTGCTGTACAGTTAGAGGGTGCTCTAAATTTTCAAAGTTCTAGAGCAGGATGAACAGACTTTCTCTGTGAAGGGCCAGAGTCAATATTTCAGGCTTTGCAGGCCATACAGTCTCTGCTGTCACTAAACCCTGCCGGATGTAGCACAAAAGCAGCCATTGACAATATGTAAATGGATGGGTTATCTGGATTTGGCTGTAGTCTGTCAACTCTATGCTAGGGTTTTAGACACATGAGGAATTTGAGAACCTTCCTGATAGGTGTTTCTTAAAAGGGATTTGAGAATTGGAATTTAAGAATTTTAGAGACAGATACTGCTAGGTTCCTAGATCAGCTTGGCAACATTCCCTAATTGGGTACCTTGGGTATGTTATTTAAGTTTTCTGTGCTTTGGTATTTTCATCTCTAATTAAAGGTAACCATCTATAGTTTAGGGAGCTGTTGGGGGAATTAGATAAGACACAAAATACTCAATACAGTGTCTGGCACATTGGAAACATCTGAAAGATGTTAGTTGTGTTTATTACCAGTCCATTCTACAGAGGAAGTCGAGGTCCAGACCTTTGAAGGACCTGCCGAGGTTACGGTAATGGAGGTAGAACCAGTTGTGTTTGAGCAAGTCCTAATCCCTTGAAACCTCTGTCACTTGAACTGCAAAATGGTGGGGGGGGGGGGGGGGGGGTTGGACATCTTCTCTTGGGACCTTCTTAGTTTCACTTGCCGTCATTCTGCCAACTGGTGCCCCAAGGTTTAAAGAACTAATTCACCTCCCCATGTGCCTTCCTTATAGTCTGGGAATGACTTCCTACATGGCAGCAATAAACTGGCAGAAAACCAGGCACTAGAGAGGGAGACTCTGACTTAGCAATGTGTGTGTGTGCGTGTGTGTGCGCGCACGCACGTGTGTTTTAAAGTGAGCCAAGTTCTTGGTAATTAGTATGGGGACTAATTGCATTCCATTTCAAGTCAGTTTTCAATGTATCTCAGGGGCCTCAGGGACTTTTATGCTACACATTCTTATAACAAATCAAATATTTATGTATGCATGTTCAGATTATTTTGACAAAATGATTAAAATGTTAAGATGGAAAATGACTCCTTGTTTATAATGTGTATCCTCCAGACGCTAATGTGTCTGCCATGAGACATGGGAGTGTTTCCTGGTTGAGGGGCTTCTGTTAGGTTCATCAGTCCTAGATTGGTAACTAAAACATGACGATTTTGTCTCTTCTGATTTGGCACCAGGTCTAATTCCAGCTCATGTTCTTATCTTTCTTGCCTGGCTTCTTCACTTTACCCTGGTGACTTGTCTCCAAGAGCATAAGCAGTGAATTCCTTGCTCTCATTCCAATTTATTTTATTAACTGCTCCAACACACTCTCTGCACTATCTTTACCTCCTGTCCAGCAAACCAAATGATGCCATTTTAAAAGAGGTGGAACAAAGATTGGGAACATGATGATGGGCAGAGACATCCTTCTTCAACTAACATTGAAGAAAAGGGGAAAAACAGTGAATATTCTCTCTCCTTCCCTTTTCCCAGCACACACACACTGACATGCTCGTTTCTGTACAGATTGTAAAAACTGATGATGGCCAGCTAAGGGTAGGAGCAGACAGGACAAGAAAAGAAGATTCAATAGTGAGTTCTCCACGATGAATCCTGAATGAAAAGTGTGCACTGTAAAGTAGGACAGCTGGTGAGTATATGTGGGGAAGGAAGAGAAGAGAGGAAAAAGCAAAGACATGGTAAATGAGTAAGAAGTGCTTGAAGAGAAAGTAAGAAGAGCAGATAGACAAGGAGAGGGAAGATTAGGGTTAAATGACATGGAAAGAGGCAGGATGAGGGACAAACACGCACAGAGAATGAGGGAATAGTGAAGAACCTGCCATTTTGTGCACTGTTCTGAAAAGGAACCTTTGTTCCAGCTTGAAATGTAGCATCTGTTGGCACATGGGAGGTGAAATCAAGAAGTCTGAACCCGCGGACAGGAAAAGTCCGGACCTTAACAAGGAATAAACTAACATGTCAGCAGATAGATAAAACTGTCCCCTGATTCATTACAAGAGATTCTTGAACTCTTTTGAATGCTTCTTTTTTATCTTGGAAAACTTAGTCACTGTGGGTTGTTGGGCTTTTTTAAAAAAAATTCCCAGTTGGCATCCTTCAACTGTACTCAGCATCTACTTTTAGAGAAATTTCTTATTTTTCTTAATGGAGCCACAATAACCAATTGACTCCTTTGAAGAAGAGTCAGGAAAATAAAAGACTGAGTACATTTGATGGACTCACTAGTTTCATACAGAATCCTACTATAAAACTATTTAAGTTGTAAAGGATTGGATATTGGAGATCTTCAAATTCATATTTTCAAAATTACTGAATTTTGGGGCACCTGAATGGTTCAGTCAGTTGAGTATCTAACTTCGGCTCAGATCATGATCTCACAGTTCATGGGTTTGAGCCCTGAGTGGGGCTTTGCTCTGACAGCACAGAGCCTGCTTAGGATTCTCTGTCTCCCTCTCTCTCTGTCCCTCCCCTGCTTGCTCTCTCCCTCAAAGATAAATAAACATTAAGAACATACTTTTTAAAATTATTGAATGTTATCCAAGTATACTAAAAAACATTGCCCTGTTAGATCATGAGTGCTAAAATTTTTAATCTGTATTATTTTTAAGAGGGGAGAGAAATGGACTACTCAACAACAATTAAAGAACATTTCTTTTTTTAAAAAAAATGTTTATTTTTGAGAAAGACAGCACAATACAGAGGAGGGGCAGGGAGAGAGGGAGACAGAGGATCGGAAGTATGCTCAGCACTGACAGTAGAGAGCCCAACATGGAGCTTGAACTCACAAACCTCGAGATCACAGCCCAAGCTGAAGTGGGACGCTTAACTGACTGAGCCACCCAGGTGCCCCCAAATTCAGTAATTTTAGAAATCCTTGTTCCACTCTCTGAAACTTACTCTGAGATGCAATTAAGCATGATAATCGTAGTGATCAAGTCTTTAGATAAAAATGAGTCAAGGCTTCTTCTTTGGAAGGTACACATTTGTGGCGTTTAAACAAGAATTGTTTGTCAGAAGTTCACTAATATTTATAGGCTCCTAAATATGGGGTGCTTTCCATATATATTTTCCCCCTTTACACTAAAGGCACTGTGGTAGGCAGCCTCTAAGATGATTCCCGTTGGTCCCTCCCTTGGTATCCAGGCCCTTGTGTAACTATGTCCCTTTGAGCATGGCCTGGATTTAGGAATTCATTCCTAATGAATAGAATATGGCAGAAAAGAGGGGCTGAAACCTTGAGATTAGGTTACTGAAAGTTCGGTTTTCTGTCTTGTGGGCCCTTTCTTGCTGTCTAGCTTGCTAACTCTGAGAGAAGTCAACTGACGTGAG